CAGAGAAAAATGGACAACCTCCGTGTGACAAAGAGGTTTTAAGGGTATGGGCCTGTTGGGTTATATGGTTAGAAAAAGAAGAAACTTTGGGTTTATAATCTGTACTGCGATTAAAGGTCGTTATATTCAATTTTTTTTGTGCTGGTTTGCTGAAATAAATTATATCTCAAATTTCACTGATACAAGCTCCTGTGGAATAAAGAAAGTTGAATGATCCTGAACAAAGCCATTAAGGATTCTATTGCTGGTCTTCCATTTACCATTAAACTCTGAAGCTAATGTTTGCAGTCATCTTGGCTTTTGCTTTTTGTCACTCTAAGAGCAAGCAAATGATTTGTACTTCTGATTTTTCTATTCTAGCATGTGACAATGGGCGTATATACTGATTAACGTGACGATGAATACTTTTTGTCCAGAAGCTCTTATTAACTTTCTCTAAAAACAGTTTTGCACAAGGAGTTAAGGTTGGAAAACTCAAACACGCGATGGGTGCCATTAGCTAGTTAGAAGCAAATGTAGTACATGCGAGGAAATATCCTCCGAGACTAGATTACAGTTCGTTCAATCATCGTCACCTTTGACATCATTGCTTGGATGATTGTGTTTCTGAGCTTGGTACATATCAGCAATCTGAAAAATATGCAGAGGAAGCCGAAAGTTAGAAAATGGAAAAGAATTTCAAAACCAGCCTGGTCTTGTTCATTCCTGTAAAGCATCAGTGTATAACATTGACTGTGGTTAGGATGAGACTTCACCTGTTCAGATGATGTTGCTTCTTCTGGCTTCTTGTCTTCCCTTACACGAAGTAGACGAGGAAAACGTAGAGAAATTCCCTTTTAATGATACAAAATTGAAACAGTCAATAGGTAAACATTTTCCCAGTCAGCTCAAAAGTATATCAAATAGGTCAATGGCTTATATATATTGTACCTTATCAGGGTCCACAATGCCGGTAGCTGCACAATGCACAGGACTAATTGTCAAGTCAGCTGCCTTCACTTCCCAGACCTTAAAGCAAGCATATCAAAGTCGTTAAATAAAAAAAACATTTGCAGATATTTTTCCAAGCAAACAAAATCCTACCTCAGTGGGCTCGAACCAAACATCTGGATTGAGGCCGTCTCCAACTCGGTAGTATTGCTGATTATTTGAATTCATTACAATCAACAACTCAAGCATGATATTGCAGCCAAAAAAAAATTGGCCAGAGAGAATAAAGAAATATCCTACTTTTGGAGTAGCAATCACTCGAGAGCGAAGACTGGTAGACCGCTCTTCAAGCACGGCTTCAGAAAATCCAGTACCTAGTAGCCCAAACCGTAAAATCAAGGCATAAGGAACTTGAGAAACTGAACATAGCACATACAAAAAATGATTTCAAAGGTGCATAAGACTGACCTATTTTACAAATGCTCTGGTATTCTTCCTTTTCAACATCGTAGCAAGCTAGTAAAAATGCACCAAAGACACCTAGAAAGAAAGCATGTGTAGCTTTGTTCACAACCTGAAGGGTGAAAAAGTGTCACCCAATATAGTTTGAATGGTTTTAACCTGTGCGTTTGCCACGCCCATGGAAAGCAGCAATTGGTACAAGATCCACAGAGTCCCCAATACTGCATATTTAAGCCTAGGGTCAGTAACGGACTCAGATATATCAATTAAAAAAATAAAAAATTTAAAGAGAATGATTGCCTGTCCATATAGTCTTTCTTCAGTTTTAGCCAATTATTCGATCGCTTTGCAGGCTCATAGGTAGCATCTGAATTCAATGTTTTAATGATTAAACCTTCACAGCTGCAAAAGAACATATATAGGTGACAAAATGGAACAACACAGATATAACAAGGTAAAGGCCAATGTAATATGGAGAAATAGGAGTGTTAGAGAATTCACAGCAGACATGGGTCAAGTGCTCAAAACAAAATTTTCATCCATAGAACACATATTCAAAAATTGAAACAGCATAGCGATAACAATGCAGAGGTCAATGTCATTTGGTGTAATAAGTACGAGAAAGGAATTGACTACAGGAATGGTCAAATTACTAAAATATCATATACTTAAGAAGGGTAAGATATATACCCAATGTCAACAGAAGCGTCAAGAAACTTTTGTATTTCATCGATATCGCTGGATGTTAGAGTAGTTGCAAACTGAAAATATCCAGGATCTTCCTCAAATGAATCGTATAGCTTCTGCTAGAAGTAAGGCCAGCACTTACATATTTGCACAACAATTACTTCATGAAACCAAAGAAAATATGATTTACTGGCTCACCTCTCGGCGAATGTTAAGATTCTCCTGAATAAGTTGCTGGCCATTTAGATATAGCATGTCAAAAGCAAAGATGCATACGCCAACTTTGATATCATTGACATTCACATTTTTACGGGCTCGAGTGCTCAAGATCTGAAAGAAAAAAAAACTATAAAAACTACCCAGCAAGCCAAATAGTTGAAGTAGCAAGCTTCAAGTACAGTAAATTAACTATCTCCAGTTGAAAACGAGTATAAATCGTTGATATATTTTAACAATCCTCTTCGCAACTAAAAATAAACTTTAGCATGATCTGACAAGCAGAAATTAGGAGGGTCACCGGAACTTTCCCAAGGTGGCATAAAATATCCATAACTGTAACAAGGATTTTTCAGTAATGTTGGCAAAAATTATTGGTTAGACAGTATAAAAATCGGCAGATCAGATTTTACAGCTCTGCTTATTTTGGCTAACAAGAAGGAAACTATAATGTCCGCGTGAACATACTTCAAATGAATAGAAAGAATTGAGGATTGCAACCATTCTTGAATATCATGACCAAGCTATTTGCGTATTGAGGTACCTGGAATGGAAGAATTTTCTCTTTCTCCCTGTCGAATGCAACAACCTCACAATCCAGAATAAAGGATTTCACAGAGGGCTTCTTTAATCTGCATAGAGAAGATTCACTCACCTCAATAGAAAGATTAGCTCTTTCTAATGTTTTCAACAAGTTACACCAGAAGTCTACCTTGATAACGCAAGAGCAACATCAGGGTACTTCCCAGTGTTTCTTTCAGCATTTCGACTATAAATCTCAAATGTACCATCCTCCATACAATGTATCTGCAGTAATTGATTGATGATAAGCCAAACCTTAACGGCACATTTAAATAACTCCTCTCTAGGAATAGCATTCATCGGATATAAGTAGTCACTGATATATCACCTGTGCACGTTCTCCATCATATTTGTATTCGCATGTGAAAACGGTGTCCTGGAATTTGTTCAGTATCTCACCTACACCTTTTGTTGGTTTTGCAAGCATGGGTCCAATTGGAACACCAAGTGTAAAGTTACAAGTTTTAGGAAGATTCCATACACCACCAGTTAGAAGAGCAGGAACAATAATGTCATAGACAGGAAGCACAGTGAATACTTGTTTAACAATCTTCGCAGCCTACAAAGACAGAGCAGAAGGATGAATTCAGGAAAGAAGTGTAAATGACTTAACACTACACGCATTAAGAAAATATTTGAAAAAAAACAGAAACGCATAGGAGGTAAATCGTGAGGCCTCAAAAAGAATGCTACATAGAGAGCCTAAAGCCACAAGTAACATCGTTATAGTAGCTCACAAAACCTATTCTTCCTCCAGAACTCAGAAAGAATTGATTCTGATCTAAAATGAGAAATAAAGAAACTAAAAGATAAAGCAAACCTCTTCCAAAGGAGACTTGATTTTTGGGGGTGGCTTTGAGTGCTCTTCATTATATACAGCGGCTTGTCCCAATGCAGCTAAGACGGTCTGATTTGAGAACCCTAACCGCAATTTTGCCTGCAATGTATATTCAGCAGGGCTGGATAAGGAACCCAAAGGAATGTTCAGACAAAGGTTGTGACGATTTATCTGCATACCTGAAGTAAACGAGTTAAGTAAAGTGGTTCACAGTCTGTTGCTGCCACAAGAAGTGCCTTCATTCGGTCCTTCTTCTTTTCTGTACTATCTTTTCCACTTTCCTGCGATAATTAACATGCAGAGGTTGATTGAATCTCATTCAACATATTACCAAAATTTCAAACATTTAAAAGCCAGAAACAACAATGGCATTTAAGTACCTTAGCAATCTGTCTAAATGTATTGAAAACCTTGACAACAGTCAATGATTCGGGCTTGAACATCATAGTCTGAGACGAACGGCTTCCTTTTGCTACAAGCCCCAAGTCTCCCAGTTCCTATAAACCGAGTAGTGATACAGTAAACAAAAAAACACCTTCTAGTTCAATTTCAAAACTGCTGATTTTCTTATTCAAAAACCTTACAGTAAACACATTCCACCAGACAACCTCATTGGATTACAAACCAACCAATAGAAAGATCACCGTACCGTATTTAGCTTCTTAACCTGCGCCTCAGTTCTACCAAAAGCTTCGGAGATTGCCTTGATAATGGAACCTTCACCAATTCCTAGCTCTACACCTTCATGAGCAGGTGCAATCTCATTCGCCGCAAGATAGACAGTAGCGACCAAATCATCTGGAGTAGTGGCAATAACAGTTCTCAACATGTTACACAAAATATCAGTGATCACAATCCTGCCACTTTCATTTGAAATCAGATCAAAAGCCAACGCGACAAATAGAAACGGAACTCTCTCCCCTTTCTCCCAACAAGACACTTTTTCCGGCTTGAAATCCCCAGGCTTCTTCTTCAGCAATTCGATTTTGCTCTTCATTTCGGTAACTTTATCAGTCTGGCTCAAAACCCTAGGCTTTTTCGCATCGTTCTTCGATTCTTCCGCAATTGACGGCGAATCCGATCTGGGTTTCGCGGAATCAGAAACGGGTTCCATCGGATCCCCATTTTTCGAAGTCGTACCTCCCGAAACAAGAGTTCTGCCCAAATCAGCGTCTTGGGTTTCTCCGATTTTCCGTTTGTTCGGCGAGCGAGACGAAGCAGAGGTCTGGGGAGTCTTCTTCTTGGCGGATGCGCGAGCTTTAGACATGAGAGCGTCAAATGCGGAGGGACGGGAAGAAGACATGGCTCTGTGGCACGAGCTAAGGCGCAATGGAGAACAAAATTGACTGTTAAAAGATAGCAAGAAAGAGGAGAAATGAGAAAATCGGGTTTTAGTACAGAGAGAAGGTATGCATCGGAAGTAATTCGATGATCGAATCACTAACATCAAAGAATTAGCAACAAGGAAAAAGTCCCAAGAAGAACAAGATTTTGAAATTAGGGTTTTAGGAAGAACAGGTGTTGCAAATGTAATAATGGCGGCAGAATTTCGCAGGCATCTCCCTCCTTTATTTTGGGGCCCAAATAGAATGTTTCATGGGCCTAAAATCCCCGGGCCACACATAAACATTTAAACCGTGGTGTGATTCGAACCGCACTAGTACAGCAGTACTGTTTTCTTTGATACAGTTTAAGAAAATAAAAATTCGTTTATCTTGTTTCATGTATATGTGTTCTACGTACATCTCTTTCCCCCTTATACAATTGTGTTTTTATAATCATTATTACAACACAAGATTCTACTTTGGTTGGGTAAGTTTTTTGGTAGGGAAGGGCGGTACTACAAGATCCTTTACACTTATGGTTGACAAGGATCTCAATAAGGAAAAACAAAACAAGATTGAAGCTAATTTAATTTTTAAGGAAAAAAGGCTACTCATTCTTGTTGTTGGACGATCAACACGGATGCTCTAGAAGGATAATATTCAGATGCTAACAAATCTCCAATGACTCCAAGTTCTTCGAATTCCATCCAATCCCCGAGTCCTTTGGTCACCGCGGTACCTATCCCGCTGCTTCTCCCGACTAGAAACAGATCATAGTCGTAAGCCACGGAGTGCAGAATCTTGGAAGTCTCTCTGCCATCTGCCACCATCATATCAATGTACGTGACGGATTTATCTCGAGGCTTTTCTTCATAGCGGTTCATGTCTACTGTTTGGCTTTGACTCCACACCGTGCTTTCGTCGGGATGAGACATAGCGATCAGACGCAATACCGTTAGACTCGCCTGTTGGTTACCTCTCATGTGTTCTGCTAATGCCTTTGCCTCCTTGTCGTCGTTCCCGCCCACGTAAATCAAGCAAACCTGCATTCATAGCTT